GAGTGTCTCTCATTTTTCTTATCTACCTTGAAAGGTTCTTGAAAATGTACTTATTTTCATTTTGGAGCTTCTATGTTTTCAAGTCTTTTCATCGCGGAGCCCGACATGTTTCATCAAACAGAATTAAATCATATTTAAGGGCCGTTATCGTAAGATAGCACTATAATGACATCACAAGACAGGACGAGGGTAATATCAGTGAGAAAGGAGGACGAGGTGCTGGGGCTCAAGGCTCCCCCAACTTAACCCGCGCCAGGGTGGTGGCCTTATCATAACACGTTGAGTCGAGAGGTGGGCTTTTCACGCTCCTTCTAACTCGGCTACTGGGCTACGAGGCGAGAAGCGGAACGACGTTTGAAAGAGCGACAAACGTGACCAGAGAAATCTGGTCATGTTTTAGGCAAGCTCAATAATAAAATCACCATAGATCATCAAAAGCCAAATTTCTCTGATTTTAGCGTTCTCCGACAACTTTTCTCACAGTTCATGAACATAACGGAGCAACACTGCAAACAAAACATTCGATTATTCGTTTAAGGCTCGGTCGCGAATAATATTTCAGGTGCGAGCTCAAATCAATAAGAGGGTCAAAACGGTTAAATTTGACATTTTGTTTTGTGTGGGAAGGTTGCAACTTCCACGGAATAAGCTTTGCAAAGGTCATGATGGCATTTTTAGCACGATCATCCAGCAAATTTGACCTGATGACCTGACCTAGCACTAGGTGACATGCGTCCGAAATTTTAAGGCGTGTTGCAAAATTGTTGTTACAATTACGAAATCTTCCGCACCTGCGTGCAGCAGTTTTCCCTAAAAACGTACAAACGGCAGACATCCATTATTCTACGCCACAGAATAAGGGTTTGTTGATAACCGTTGACAAATATTTGAGCATCATCGTCTTTCTGACTTTCGGTCGCCGGCCGGGGTAACTTTTTCAAACATTCTCCACTAAGATTGTTGAATCTGAGGGCAGGCATCAGAAAAAAACGTTAAAGAGAGCTATCGAATGCGTTTTTCCGCAGCGCTGTAGCTCTATCCTTTCCTGAGCTATAGGCCAGTTTGTCGAAAACTGTCAAAGGTTGACCTGGAAATTAGCGAAATTTTACGTTCGATGACCTCTGGTGACCTGACCTTTGATTTGACCTAAAAAGTGACCATTTTTTTTCTTCATCATTTCTTACGCTCTTTCGATCGCCGACTACGGCGTTTCGCTAGTGACCCAGGAGCCAAGTTAGTAGGGGGTGTTCAACCTCCACCTCCAGCAGGGCGTGGAAATCCAGGAGCCCCAGCGGGGCGCGGGTTAACCCTCGCCCATGTAGGGGGGGGGTTGGTGCAACCCCCCCTGAGGTTTTTCTTAGCTACACGCCAAACCGTTTCAGATAGCCTGCTCAAATTTTCAGTACCCTTTGGGGCATCCTTTGCGCAACTTTTGGTAAAAAATTTTTGTCAAGGTCATGTCAGGTCACGGAGTTATGACGTCATAAAGGGAACAACCTCCGGCCAGATTTACGCTAAATTGGAGATTGCTTCACAATGGTATAAATGCCGACTGACCTGATACACTGATGGATTGTTTTAGAATCATAACTGGCTGATTTGACATTGGCACAATGTCCGTTGACCTTTTCAAGGTTACTAAAGGTCAAGGTCAGGTCATTGACCTCGGTTGACCTGTAATGTCTTCTTGCACTTGTATGCCTTTTCGGGGTATTTTGATGCCCTGAATTCGAATTTGCTATCCGCTGGGCAAGTGCGTTCCTTTAGTGCGTTCCTGCGTTCTTCCGTACGTACGCACCGCCCTTTTTAGGAACGCAAGAACGCAGGAACGCAAAGTTTTTCAAAGGAACGCAAGTAAGAGGAACGCACCACCCGAAATTTTGAAGCGTTCCTGCGTTCTTGCGGAACCACCCGAAATATTATATTGCTGCCAATGACCTGTTTGTCAAATGTTTGAATCTCGAGTACGTGTGTTTGCCGGTAGAGGCGCCACTTGTCGGTCGAATCGAGGAAGGCTTGCTTAGATTTAGTGATGTTTACTATTCGATTCGGTTTCAGGCATTAAATGTGTAAAGATTTTTAGTGGTGATGTTTACTATTCGATTCAGTTTCAGGCATTAAATGTGTAAAGTAAATACGATAACTTTTACTAAGATACATCTTTTAACTTAACTATTGTTTTTAAGCAGGTCGTATTTTTGTTGAAAACCCTACGGATGATATTGGTAAAACGTATTTCAGATATTCGATTCGGAAAAGAGATGTCGAGTTGCTTTTCGGCCCCACGTCGCCATTCTGGGTATTCTGTGATCGATTCGCCCCGTGTTTGGTTGGGCCCGCGCCGCGTGGTTCGGCGGTATTTTTGAGGGAGGAACGCAGGAACGCAGGAACGCTAACGCACCGAACGAAAAAAAATTGAGGAACGCTATTCCAGGAACGCACTAACCGCGGCCGGAGGAACGCAGGAACGCTAACGCACTACCGAAAATCGAGGAACGCGCCCAGCTCTGCATTTCAGGCATCGTCAGTTGTTTCTTGTAGTTCATTTTGGGTCAGGGACAGGTCAGTGACGTCACACGCCTGACGTGACCCAATGCACAAATGACCTTGCAGACTTCCGATGCTCCCAACGCATCATTTTTAGAGTTATGACATCGAAATACACACCAAACGATAGAGAATTGATCAAGGATCACGATAGTGAAGGTTTCAAGTCGATATCTTTTACCGTTTTGCCGCAATCGGTGCGGAAATCTGAAAAAGTTAGATTTTTCCGAAGATTTTACCTTTGACCGGTCATAAGTAGGTCAAATGTTGACCTAGGACCAAAAAATATACCACCAATCGCGAGATCTCGTTGAGAGCAATCCGTTGGTCTTTTCCGCTAAGCTCTACGACGCTCCGTTTTCAAACGCCAGGGGGGTTCGCACCAACCCCCCCCCCCCTGCATGGGCGAAGGTGGCAAAACACCGTTTACGGGCGAGGGTTAACCCCCATACGTATAGGGGTAGCGGGTATTTTTTTGGAATAGATCACGTTAAAAGGGTCGGATTACAAAAAAAAACTGTACCATCGAGCCGATCATTTTTATCTGTCCTGAAAATGGCATGACCTTAACCCGAATAACCGTTGATTTGTGAGATCTTTCTTGAGATCATGGCAGGCCAAAAATCTCACTTCAAGAAGTTACAGCAGGACCCGATTTACTAGGCAGTTGTAATTGACCTATGAAAGGTCACCAAATGACCAACGACCTTTAAATTGGGTAGCAGCGGCTGCTTATCTTCACGGGCAACACGCTCAATTTTTCTGCAAAGCTCCAGCTCAGAGACCGAGATGCCCAGGTCAGGGTGCAATGGACGACTCCTCTCCCTTGCGTTAGTGACTGTGAAAACGCCAATAGACGAGCGCCGGTTAGTACATGACAGTTACTTTCAACGACTGTACGGAATGGTGAGCAGCTACATGAAAATTGACATGCGCCAGCTAATCAGTTCATGCTTTGTGCGTTTGACCTCGACTAATCTTTGAATCCTGGGGCACAACAGTTGCGATGTTTGTCCCATCAAGGGAGCCATTAATTCTAAAAAAGATGAGGCTTTCTCAGAGGCCCTCATTACCCCCCGCCGAAGGGCGTCATTACCCCCAAAGGGGGCATGCCCCACCATTTGCCGACCCCTGCTCTAATGCATACTTGAAGGAAGTATTTGCAACTTACTCTGTAGCCGCCTGAACACCCAGACGATGGTTGTCGGAACTGGTTCTTGTATTGTACCGTTTCTGCAAGCGAAAATATGGCTCACAATCGACACACAGGCCACATACACAGAAGTTCTTGCGGCCACCATCATCTATTATCGTGTACACCAGCGTCACTATCGTAACACATCTATCAAATAGACGCTCAATATACCAACACGAGCATTTATCAATGAATATCTTACCGACTGTCGCGTTTCGTCGGGCCTGCTCGCCTCCCACTACTCCGACAAGGGCAACCGCCTATATTAAGGCGAATCAAAAGACAAACAAGTTCTTCATCACGGCCCGTGACCGATCTTGGACCAAAATGCCTGCACTCGCCCCGCTCGCCAACATGGCAGCCAATAGAGCGCGGCGGCGCCGCTGGATCTACGCAAAACAAATACCAGTACTTCGAAACATGAACAAAGCTTGACGAATCACGCGCTATTGGTATTACAAATAAGGCTCAAAGGCCCAAAGTTCGCAAAATCATAGGCATAGAGTATCAGATACCCACAAAAGAAAAGAAACAAACATTGCAGCCTCACAGTACTTAGCTCATCCCCGGCACAAGCCCCCCGCCCACCTCTAGGGCGCGGCCGGCGATCAGCTGATCGGCAAGGTCAGCCACCGGCCCAAGGGGGGAGGAGGGATGCGCCGGGGAGGGGAGGGCCGGCCGCCCGCAGGAACAGGCTACTAAACCGCATGGCGCCTACACCGCCTCCTTTGAAGGCACGCGCATTCAACACTGGTCTTAGCCTATTTCAACAACCCTAAACTAACACATGAGACGAGACACGCGCAGTCAAACGCAGTCCTAGCGTTCACAATACTCGTTTTCGCACATGAGGACCAGTTTGTTGACAGGGCGGAGTATCTCTGCGCCCTTTGCTCTCAATTTAACACTACGAACCAGGCCATCCTTGCCCGGAAAAGTTTCAATGACGCGGCCCAGGGGCCAGCGAGACCTGGGGAGCTCCCTATCGGCTACCAGGACGACGTCGTTCACCATGAGTGATCTCGTAACACGAAAGGCCTTCTGCCTCTGCTGTAAGAGTGGAATGTATTCTTTGATCCACCTGGACCAAAAAATGCCGGCCAAGTATTGCGCTTGGCGCCACCGTCTCCTCAAGTACAGGTCACCCGCTCCAAATACTCCCACCGGGACGGATAGCGCGCCTCCCGCCAGCAAGAGATGGTTGGGAGTCAGTGGCTGTGGGTCACCGCTATCGCTGGACACGTACGTCAGTGGGCGACTATTTATAATGGACTCGACTTCGCAGAGGAGAGTTGTCAGGGTCTCTTCGGTGAGCACTTGTTCTGTCATCAGTGCATCTAGAACCTTCCGTATGGTACGAATGACTCTCTCCCAGACACCCCCATGTGACGAAGCTTCTGGGACGTTGAAGTTCCACTGAATCTTCCTCTGCAGCAGGTTCTCATGTATGACGTCCTCACTCCTCGAGAGGTGTTCCCATTCTGCTTTCAGTTCATTGTTTGCTCCCACAAAGTTCGTGCCACGATCTGATCGGATGGTCTTAACTTGCCCGCGTCTAGCAAGGAATCGTCTCAGAGCGCAGAGGAACGAATCGGTAGACATCGACTCAACTACTTCTATGTGTACTGCCCTCGAGACGAGGCACGAAAAAACGATTCCGTACCTTTTCTCCTGTCGTCGTCCCTTCTTGACGTAGAAGACGCCAAACATATCCAGCCCGGTGTTTGTGAATGGTGGCTCATCCGGGGTCACCCTGTCCTCAGGCAGGTTCGCCATCTTCTGGTTCATGAACGGGCCCTGACGACGACGACAGCTGACACAGCGACTGAGGACGCGTCGGACAGCCGAGTTTCCGCGCAGGATCCAGAATCTCGAGCGCAGCAGCGACAAAGTGTGCTCTCTTCCAGAGTGACCTGCTTCTTCATGGATGCTCTGAATAATCAGATCGACAACATGATGACGTCTGGGGAGGACAGGAGGGTGCACCTGATCTTCCCGGATTGGTGCGTGGCGTAGACGTCCGCCTACCATGATCATCCCGTCGTGCAGATACGGGTCCAGTCGTGCGAGAGGACTGGTGATTCCGACGGCGCCCTTCCCTTCCAGCGAGGCGAAATCAGCGGCAAACTCACTTCTTTGAATCCTTGTGACTATTGCCCTCTCAGCTGCTTCAAGTTCTGGTACAGCAAGCCGCTGTCTCACCTGAGCCTTCGGCTCGGATCCGAGTACGGACACCTTACGGCATCGTTCTACCAGGCAGCGCTTCAGGCGAAGGATCCATGCTACAGCGCGCACGAGTCTGTACCAGACAGAGTAGTGAGAAAACAGCTCCTCCAACGGGTCGCAGCCAGCGTGCGCGACTGCAACGCTGGTGATCTTCACCTCTGGGTCGTTTTCTACTCGACGATCGAGTCCAGCCGGGGGCTCAGGCCACTCATCCCGTCCCTTCCACAAAAAGGCCGGAGCATCGAACCACCGCGGGTTCGCGATGAAGTTGTCCGCTAATTGTCCCCTCGATGCATCGTCTGCCGGGTTGTTCGCTGAGTCAACGTACCTCCATTGTGCCGGAGAAGATACGTCCCGTATCACGGCCAGACGGTTGGTGACGAACGTGTGAAAACGTGTCGTTTCGTTCTGGAGGTAGCGAAGCACTGTTGTGCTGTCCGTCCAGAACACACTTTCATCAATCTTGACTTGCAGAGCGCGTCGCAGTGTGGCTTCAATGCGAGCAGCCAGAGTGGCTGCTGTCAGCTCCGCTCGTGGGACGGTGAGCTTTCCATTCAGGGGCAGAACCCTCGCCTTGCCGAAGACGAACGCACAGTGAACTTGTCCGTCACAACAGACGATTCGAAGGTAGGACACTGTGCCGTACGCGACAGAGCTTGCATCTGCGAAGTGATGGAGCTCTCGGGTCTGAATAGGTCCAAGGCCAGCTGGCTGTACACATCTAGGGACGCCGATGGTCGAAAGTAGTGCTCTGCCGCGGATCCATTGCTCCCACTGAGCTTGAATGTCCTCCGGTGCCGGGTCGTCCCAATCGTAGCGTCGTCGTGTTAGTTCCTGTAGAATGATACGACCGCACACGACGAATGGTGCAGCCATCCCCATCGGATCGTACAATGATCCGATGATCGACAGCATTCCCCTCCTCGAGCATGGCATACTCCGATCTTCCGTGGTTGAGAAGCCGATGACGTCCGGGTTGACTCGCCACTCAACCCCCAGTGTCTTCTCCAACGGAAGTTCTTTCTCGAGGTTCAGTTGCTTCACGTTCTTCCCTCTGTCTTCTGGTGGGATCGATTGTAGGACTTTCCTCTGGTTACTGACAAATTTGGCTAGGTGGAATCCACCCCGGCTGCACAACTCTCGTACCTCCCTGACCAGGTCGATGGCTTCGTCGATCTTCGTCACCGACTTCACCAGGTCATCAACGTAGATGTTGCTTGCGATCGTCTCACAGGCTGCAGCAGAGTGTAGGTCGCCAAAGTCGACGGCTGTCCGTAGAAGGGCGTAGCTCGCACAGCTAGGGCTGGATCTCAGCCCGAACGGATGCACCGTCATGCGCCAGACTTCCACGTCTTCTGCAGGGTCACCGTTTCGCCACCACAGAAAGCGGAGCAGGTCGCGCTGGTCGGCTGGTACAGACACCTGATGGAACATTGAGTTGACATCGCCCATGAAAGCTACTTCTTCCTGGCGGAACCGCAGTAGAACGTCAATCAGGGGAGTGCAGAGAGACGGGCCCTGCAGGACTGCGTCATTCAAGGAGACGCCCTTGAAGGTGCTCGAACAATCAAAAACAACTCGGAGTTTGTCTTTCTTCCCGAAGACACCGTGGTGGGGAATGTAGTTGACAAGTCCATCGTCTCTTGTCAGGTCTTCTGCCCTCACTCTCTCCACGAATCCGTTCTTCGACATGTCCTTCATCACCTCGCTGTATCGGTCGGCAAACCTCTGGTCTCGGAACTTCCTTTTCAGTCCTTGTAGCCGTCTCGTGCAGATCTCTCGGTTGTCTGGTAGCATGGTTCCCTCCTTCTTCAGTGGGATGGGAACCTCGTAGTGTCCGTCCTTCATGATGCAACCAGCTTCCACTTTTTCCATCCACATATGGTCTTCGACCGACCATCCACGTTCATCAGCTGCTAGACCCTCGTCCTGGCAGAGTTGCCTCTCCAGCAGCCTGATCCTGTTTGACGTTGCCCTTACTTCAGTCAGTTTTCTGGACCGGACGGGGCCGTTCACGACCCAGCCGAGGCGAGTTTTGACAGCGAAGGGCCCACCGTCACAGCTGGGAACGAAGTCGAGGGGTTCAAAGGCCTCTGGTACGTTCACGCCGATCAGAAGGCCTACTTCTGCTTCGATCTCCTCTGGAAGCACGTCCCTTACGTGAGGCCAGGGTTCCACGTCCTCGGCCTTACAAAGCTCCGTCCTGCTGACTGGGATCTTGTCGATGACGAACACTTCCGGAAGCTGCATTTGCTCGTTTTCGTCCATGTCACACATTTGGAGGTTGTCGACGGCTGAAGTATGAAGCTCGACTGGTTGTTGTGCCATCGTGGTTAGAGTAAGCTGATACTTCTTTGCTGTTGTGATGCCCAACTGGCTCAAAAGCTCCTTGCTCAGGAACGTCAGGCTACTTCCACTGTCGATAAAAGCGTACGTCTCCACGATAGGACCATCTCCATACCGCACCTTCACTGGTACCGCCGGCATCCTCGTTGAAGTCCCGCTGTTGGACATGACGCTCACAACGGCTGGTGCAGGTGGCGCTTCCCCTGCCGTTGGTACTCCCATTGAGGCCACCTGGAAGACATGAAGTACAGACGGGTGCTTCCTTTCACAGACGCCACAGGTGAGTCTCATTCGACATTCCCTCGAACGGTGCCCAGGTTTCAGACACCCAAAACAGAGGCGTTTATCTCTGATGAGCTGGCGTCTGGCATCGAGAGGGCGCTTCGCATACGCAGAGCAGTTCTCCAACGTATGAGCTTCATCGCAGCAGGGACAGACTGGCTTCTTCACAATCTCTCTTCTCTCGCTCTCTTCTTGGCGAACAAAATTCACTTTGGCTTCTTTCTCTCTTTGCTTGGTGTTTCCTGTTTTCTGGAACATGTGTCTCCCAAACGCGGAATTTGATGCCACTCTCGCTTCGATTTCGACGAAGCGCACCAGGTCAGAGAAGCGCACGGCACGACCCTTCCGAACTGTAAGATCGTCGACCTCCCTTCTCCACCTCTCCTGTAACGCGTAGGGCAACTTTTCCAGCAGTTTTCTCAACGTCTTTGGATGGTCCAACTCGTTCAGGCCTTGCTGGAGACTTCCGACTGCGTTTTCACACGTCCGGAGCTCCAGTGCGAAGTTGTCGAGTGTCGTGACGTCATCAGCCCTCACAGTAGGCCGGTTCATCAGCTTGTTCACGAATGAATCAGCTATCTTGTCTCGCTCTCCATATCTCTTCTCGAGCAGAGACCTCGCTGTTTGGTAGCCTCCAGTGGCCATGTTCATGCAACTTCGGACGATGTCGCGTGGCACTCCGCTCGTAAACTGCTCCAGATAGAACAATTTACTGTCGTCTTCCTGGACAATGTGTGCAACTCTGTTGTCAAAGGCTCGGAGGAACTGAGTGAATCTAGTCACATCTCCAGAGAATACTGGGATATCAGGTCTTGGGAGCAGGCTGGCGGTCAGAAGTTTCTTGATTACCTCCTGCTCTCCATCATGCTGAGGTTGAGGGGGCTGAGCTCTGGTTGGTACGGGTTGAGGGTTTAGCTCAGCAGCGCCATTCAATCGGGGCTGCTGTTTCTTCAACTTGTGTGCCACACCAGAATGGGAGCTCGCTTGGCTTGCCATCGCAAATGCCTCCTCCTTGGCCTCTGCTTCTGCAATCTCCTCTTGAAGTTTGAGTTCTTCTCGTTTCATCTCCAGCTCTCTCTCTTGGGCTTCCAGACGATGCTTTTCCTTCAGGAATCGAAGCCTCACTTCTGCAGCAGCACGTTTGGCAGACTCCTGTGCACGTAGGGATCGCATCGAGCCCCCTGAGCACCTCGATCCACATGCAACTGAATGTTCCACTTGGGGTCCAGCTGCCAGCTGTGAGGCGCTATCACCAACCTCTGATACATCTTGAACGTCTCCATCTGGTGGCTTGGTTTTCACGTGTGAGGCACCATCTTCAGCCCCCTCCACGGTAACTGCCCGCAGCTCACCAGCAGTTCTTGGGTCAGTTGCCATTTCAAAGGCTTCTTCCTTGAGGACCAGGTTCAACCTCTCTTTCAGAACTTCCTTTGATCCTCTTGTATCTTGTCCTCTCTTTTCAAGCTCATCCCTGAGCTCTTGCACTTTGAGCCGCTCAACATTCAGGTCCATGTTCAATGAGACTAAAGAGACAAGTTGAAGACCAAGCAAAATGAAGATCAATGGGTGACACGCCTTCAATCTCTGAGAGCTCATGGATTATCAATGTGCAAGTTAAACAACCATGGAAGTAGACTAAATAGGTTCAGTGTGGCCAGCTTCAGGAATGTGTCAGGAATCCGAAGCTATCAGTGAGCGCCCTTAATCAATCAGTTCTGTTCTTGCTTAGCAACCTATAGCGAATGTATCCAGACTTTAACTATCAAATTCAAAGCAATCTTCTGAAGCCTGGTGGTGTGAGGTCCAACTTCAATACGAGGTCGACGTAGCAAGATAATAGTAACAAATGGATGATCAAGATATTTGTCCTGGACAGGAATGATGTCACTCGCCCAATGGCCAATGTGATAACAGTCAAGGGTTCCCCAAAGTTGGAAACTACGTTCAATGCTATCACACCAGTACCCAATAGCAAGTTCAAAGTTCGATCGAATCCTGCCCAACAATCAACGGCAACAGGCATAAACAGTAACACAAGTCAACGTCAATACATTTACAGATGCACTTCTCGTGTCGCTGATTTACTCAATCATGTGCGTAGTGATAGCACACCCCCTAGCACAGTTCAGTTGCAAAAGCTCTAGAGTTCAGAGTTCAACCTTAGCACCATACCCACTGCTCACTGTTCTCCGAGCAGGTGCAGTGCCAGCCGCCAGGATGCAGATCTGCTCGTCCACGTCCAGATGTGCAGCAGTGGCAGCAGCGGTGTGTGGCAGCTGTAGCTGTAGTTGCTCGTGTGCAGAAGAACTCTCCAGAAGCCAGGAGGGAGCAGAGGTGCAGCCGACTCAGAGGTCGAGTCGAAACTGTAGCCGCCTGAACACCCAGACGATGGTTGTCGGAACTGGTTCTTGTATTGTACCGTTTCTGCAAGCGAAAATATGGCTCACAATCGACACACAGGCCACATACACAGAAGTTCTTGCGGCCACCATCATCTATTATCGTGTACACCAGCGTCACTATCGTAACACATCTATCAAATAGACGCTCAATATACCAACACGAGCATTTATCAATGAATATCTTACCGACTGTCGCGTTTCGTCGGGCCTGCTCGCCTCCCACTACTCCGACAAGGGCAACCGCCTATATTAAGGCGAATCAAAAGACAAACAAGTTCTTCATCACGGCCCGTGACCGATCTTGGACCAAAATGCCTGCACTCGCCCCGCTCGCCAACATGGCAGCCAATAGAGCGCGGCGGCGCCGCTGGATCTACGCAAAACAAATACCAGTACTTCGAAACATGAACAAAGCTTGACGAATCACGCGCTATTGGTATTACAAATAAGGCTCAAAGGCCCAAAGTTCGCAAAATCATAGGCATAGAGTATCAGATACCCACAAAAGAAAAGAAACAAACATTGCAGCCTCACAGTACTTAGCTCATCCCCGGCACAAGCCCCCCGCCCACCTCTAGGGCGCGGCCGGCGATCAGCTGATCGGCAAGGTCAGCCACCGGCCCAAGGGGGGAGGAGGGATGCGCCGGGGAGGGGAGGGCCGGCCGCCCGCAGGAACAGGCTACTAAACCGCATGGCGCCTACATACTCTGTACTTCCCAGCACATACCAGCAGAAAAAAGCTTGACTTATGTGAATTGATGACTCTGTCTGGGATTGACCTTGCTGTTAAATTCACTCCATTGCAATTGATGCTGCAATATCAAAAGCCTGAGAAAGCATACAGAATAGGTGACACTAACTTTAGCACTGTCTTCCAAAAAAAGAGAAAATCCATCCATTTATCAGCAAAACTGATTTAATCTATTTTCAATTCATGCCCACGTGTCAACCGTATCTCTGTGGACAACTATCTGCTGCTTTCCTTGCTATTTTATGTTAGGCTCTTTTCAAGATATGGATATCGCTAGCAGCGTAAGCAGAAAACATGGTGAGTTTGAAATGTCATTGGGTACTTTTGCGACTTTTACGCATCATCGTCATCATTTGAAAATGAGCGAACACTTCTTGATTGTCGCAGCTGCGGCAGGTTGCAATTCTGACCAATTGTATAATAAATCATATATGATCAAGTTTTTATTTTGTTTTTGTTCAAGTTTTGAGACTTCGTGATAAAGGTTTTATTTTTTATTTGTTTCATTTTGTTTTTCACCTTGATACTTACTAGAAAAACGTATTTATTTGATAAACTGTTGTGTATACTACCTAGATGCCGCCACATAAACATAGCGCCATGATCGCAAATTTTGTTGAGAAGGGCTGGGTTGTTGTTGTTGTGATTTATTTTGACAAATTTATGGACATTTAAGGAAGCTTTCATCGCGAAATACTCTGTAGAATTCCTCGTTACTTACAGTGTGTTTCGTGAGTATCCTTTTAAGGTTCTGTTCGTTAAAAAGCCGTCGTTGAAGGAAAAAAGACTGTGTTGGAATTGTCTCACTATCGCCATATATAAGTGTTAAGCTTAATGTAGCCCTGTAGCCCATCATTGTTGAGTGGCTTGTTAGTTTTTGGAGTTGTAGTGCTAAGTAAGTTATTCTGATGACTACATTTTAACTTTTATTAACAAACTAATGATGCTAGAGATTCTCTGATCTTTTTGGTTGCGGAATTTTTATGAAAACCCTCCTATGTGTGACATGATGTGATATTGGATAATTCTCAAGATTCCCAAAATTCAATATCAAGTAGGTTTTCTTTCACATTGCTTAAATTTGGTTTAGTTTTAGTATTTTCCCAGTGGGTTTTGTTTGCATCAGTTTCCAAATTTTCTTAAATTGACATTAGTCGCAAAACCCATAGTCCACAAAGCTCTTGGCCCGGCCCGTCCATAGCCCGTTAACTAATGATATTTGGGGGCCCCCGTAGCCCAGCCCGGCCCATGGCCCGTTGGGCTGGCCCGGCCCGTGGCGAACACTGCCTAGGACCTTAACCCTCGCATGTGTAGGGGGGTCGGATGGACCCCCATGGTTTTTCGCGAATAACCCGCGCAAAAAGTGGCCGATCCCGACGAAACTTTTAGTACCCTCGAGTTGATCAATTTTACACCTACCCTGAAAATTTCATGACCCTGACCCAAATGACCTTTGACTTGTGACCTGATTCTCGAGACCATGTTCGGGCGGAATCGCGATCTGGCGTACGTGGGGTGAATGAAAAGTTTTGAGCCTAACACAGTTACAGGTGACGCAGGTTAATGAAAATTTGGTCACACATTTTGCCACTATTTTTAGGTGTGTACACCAAGTTTTGAAGTCCTAGTTCTTTCCGTTTCGTTTTTAGAGCCCGTTAAAGCGAAGAAGATTACGCGTTCGGTGAAAAGGGAGAAAATCGAGAACCGAGCTTTTATAAAGTATTGCGATTTCAAAGCCATGCCTTCATCTGAAATTAAAAAGGACCTGAAATTAAACTTATTGGTTGTGGCCCATCATATGGCACTGTTCAGGTTTGAGCTGCTAATTTCAAGCAGGGCAGGAACAGCGTCCAAAATGAACAAATATCAAAAACGCCGTAGAATGTGACAAAATCCGAAAACATTGACCCTGCTCTAGGGTTGTGGATGCTGGATCCAAGACTGTGAGCTCATCAGATAGCGGTAAGAATGGACATCTCCCAGAAGCAAGCTGGCGACATTCTTACCAATGGGTATGACATGAGAAAGGTCTGCTCATTGGGCCTCTCGGCTTTTTGCTGCAGAGCACGACGAGAGATGTGTAATGACATTTGGCGCTAGTTGAAGCAGATTCTGAGAATTCAAAGTCACTTTTCGCTACCGATGATAAACTGTGGGTGTTTCACTTCAATCCAGCATGGGAAGAACAGTGGAGTCAGTGAAAGAACGTCTCTACTCTAATCTGAAAAATTAAATGTCAGAGTCACAACAAGGAGGAAAGTGTTCCGTAATTGGGAAAATAAATGAGATGTCTTGCAAGTGCACTTCTTTTCAAAGGTGAAAGGGTCTTACTGTAATGGGCATTACTAGGATGAACCACTGATATGTAGCAAGGGAAATAAGGAAAGAAAAGAAATCTTGCTGTTAATCAAACTGCGATTCACTGTCGCTCAACTGGTTGTACAAGAAGAACAATTCGCTGCTGGAGGGAACTCGTTAGTAGAGCTTGTAGAACAGGGGAGCTTGAGAGTCGTTGAAGAGATCCCGAGATAGATCTAGAGAGAGATCCAGATAGTGATGAGATCCACCTGAGAAAGATGTGGATATCCCGATAGAGATCTTGAGATGACGTCCACCTGGGAGACATGTAGATGTAGATCCAGATCCACCTTACATACAAATACATCTGATGGAAGATGCTTTTTAATTTAGAGGCTTGATGATTCTGTTCATTGTATAGACCATGATGCACGAGATGCTTCTTCACTGCTCGGATTAGGGATAGAGGGATCCGATCAGCTGGGTTTGCGGCACAGTTGGGCAGGTGAAGGACAGGGCATTCGAAGTCCCGATGACCACTGCCAAACTTATGGGTGGTAATTACATTGATTAATGGAATGTGATCATTCGTCCAGTCACCCATTCCTATATCACTGGCCTCCCCATTAAGAAAAAATTGCCCACTTAATTCGTATTAGCGTTGCTAGTTTCAGTTGCCCTCGAGAATCATTTGTTCGACTGCCGTAACCGAATTCTACCAAATTCCTATCGGCCTTACTCTAAGATTCATACGTCATCATTCTCACATCCTTGCTCGCATTACGTTCACATTTCATGTGTTCACCCAAATTTAATTGGTAGCCCCCGAAATTCCCTCCGATAGCGTTAGGCGTCTTACAAACCATGGTCTCCCCGGCGAGATAAATGTCTCTTTCCGAAATCCATATGCATGCTCTGCTAACCGGCGACAAAGATACTTATCGCAGGGCCGTCCAGAATAATTATACACAAATATCCACCCTACTAATTTATGGGATTCACTACACGTCCGATAGACTTATGGTACACACATACACGATTTATATCCGACTTATCTCTCTACCGGGAGAGATTACCTATGCCCTCTTCCGGTCCGCGTGTAACATTCCCGTTCACGACCCAGGGACCACCGTTCATATCCTGGAACTCTCCTCAGGAACTCTCCTTAAACCATGGGATTTACTCTTCAAGGCCTTACGTGTCCTGGAGTACATTCTTCCCTCCCCTGAGGCTGTCCAGTACCGATTAAGGTACCTTTACAAAATAAGTATGAGGACTTATTCGGGACACTACGGCTCGCCTTATCCGCACTTTTGGGTGACTCACCCCTGACCCTCGGCTTCTTGCCTTTGGCATAACTTACTCTCCACTGCACACTGTGCCAATCTTCCCCTTCCCCCTGCCGTAGAAACCTCTCACTGCCTTCTCACCCAGTGTTACCTAAGCGGGAAAACTAACAGTGGCCGGTACCACTGGCGGAAAACGTGCATATGCCCTGCGTACGTGACGGTGTGTCCCTCTTATTATTCCGGTCTGGACTTGGGTTTAGAGAAGTGCATCTGTGTCTCATACAGTCATGCTGGTAAACGTTACGCCATAGGAGGCGGGCAAACAAGCCGTCTGTGCCTCAAAATGCCCTGTGCCAATATTGGTGGAGTAATTATTGGCGCTAACTCGCAAGAACGCGAAGAACAAAAACGCATTATTTATCCAAACCAAATCGTAATCTCAAGTCCTAATTGCTGCTGCACGCGTGAACCTAAGCATTAGTTCTCGTATACAATCCTAGCAAACCTTGAACCGTCCTTGATTTAATCAGATGATCTAGAACCAATGAGTTCGCACCGATCTGTCGTCTGGTTGTGATCCACCGTATCATAGTGAATTACTGAATGCTCAAACGGAAATGCCTCCTTGAAACTCGTTCGATAACTTCTGATGGGCTACTAGTTACCTAAACAAATTATCTTTATAGAGTGCCAGAATATTGTCATAGGGTCCCTAGCCTTTCATAGGGAATCTAATTTAAATCATCCTATCAGCAGTAAACAATGCGTATCAAACGAAGTGCAGTCCTAGATATCACATAGCATGTCATATTTAACTGTCTACGTTCTTATCACGTTGCAACTTTCCGCAACTAACCAGGCTCCTATACGTGACCTTCACCTACCGCACCACAAAGTATGAGCAGAAGCCGCGCCCAATTACGGCTAACCCACTGCCCCTGTTGTGGCTGCTTCTCGCGCCCTCTGGCGGCTCAACGCCCGCGTCGGGAACGACGATTACCACGGCCGCCGGCCGGCGCCGCGTCGACACCGTCAGTCAGTCACGCCGCTATGGGCGCGCCAACACTCGCGGTACAGTGCTCGTGGGTGTTGTCTCTTCTGGCCGGGCAGATTCACCGGATGTGTCAGTGAGTGTGAATCTGGTAAAATATCGCTGCAATATCTCCCTGTGCGACATTTCATCAGCTCCATTCCACGTAAGTTTTTTTTTTAAATTAAATGCCTGTCCCATTTAATCGTTCCCCAACAAAGATGGTCCTTTCTAGTATTTATTCTACAAAAGCACAACGATCGGTACCTATATTAGTCGCATATTAGTTCTAACCACAAACAATTCTACATCTACCTGTTACTCGACATTTCGCAATTTCAATGACGCAAAGTGACCATCTAAAGTCGCAAAGTGTCAAACCGTCAACCTCAAACCACTGCTCACAACTCTGCACCTAAGTAACAGAAGAAATTCTGCCGTAAGCTCAAGCATTCGTATCTGTCGAAAATCATAATTCATAGCCATATTCATAGATCGATTACATGAATCAGTCGCCACCTTAAACATTACATTCCTTTTTAACCGTATTTACCTGTTCTATAATTGATTTCGACTTCGCAATTAATTCCTACAGCAATATTACCAATGATTTCGCAATGCAACTTTTAGTGAGTACAGCCCGAATGTACACCCTTAATTTCACAAACGTTCCAACCTCAAATCGTACCTGACCACCGCCGACAATAAATCGAACGAACCAGTTTGACCAAAGACAAAGACATATTAAATGCTGTCACGTATCCTGTCATCAATCTCAACGTTCGTGACAATGAGCTGCTTATTCAAATTTTAACCTCTCGCTCTCGGCCTAATCGTGAATCCCAACTGACAATAACGTATTTGCTGGCGGCTCTTGCATGACCTCACAATTCAGATCCTAATATGCAACTAGGGTGTCTGGACCAATAAGTTCAAAGTAATTTAAGTTTTCCAATTCCAATTGAGAGTGCATTGTATGGCAACCGAAAATGTTTGGCAGTCGTCACTGGCACGGCAACCGGGCAGAGGGGGGGGGTTCAAGGATTGGGATTGAGCAGACTTTTCAACAACACTCACATTCTGGAGTTTCTCTGCGCTTCCGCTTCTCCGTGTGGTCACAAGCGTCGGCGGTTGTCCTCCGGCTCTGGTCGGTCGAACTGAAGAGGCTTCTCGCGGGTGACCCCGGACCGACGGTGGCCTCCAGATGGCGTCTCCGGCTCCGGCTGCAGACTGTGACTCTCGGCTGCTCGACTGTGATTCTCGGCTGCTCGACTGTGACTCCCCCTCTGGTTGGGTGGCGCACCCTTTTATAGTTGGGGGGAAGGGGTGACTGCCACGCCCTTGCGACGTCATCTTCCTCTGCCTTCTTTTGGTGGGTGGGGCCGTAAGATGGCGCCCTCTGTCCTGTTTAGTCACCTTGCTCCTCTGTGCCTGCAATTTTTGGCCGTCGAATCGTCTTCGTGTTGAGTGCTTTATCATTTTAGTAATCGCTGGCATAAAACAATCCCCGAAAGGTTTGTGATTTTCGAGTTTTAATTTTGATTCTTCAATTTCATTTTATTCAAACTTTTGTTTCCTTCCGTTTCGTCTGCCGCCAACGCCCCTGTGACGTCACTCTTGCTCCGCCCACTGTACCGGGGCGTGGCCGTAACGCAGCGCCTTCTTCCTCTGCGGAGATCTCTGGAACTACAGGTCATTGCTTGCGGCTTGTTGTGGAGGTCACCTTGAAGTCGTTCTGCCGGGTCGCTCACCCTGGGTTGCTGTACACCGACAAAGGAGGCTATGTGCTCCAGCCGGCCTCCATCCTTGACACTGCTCCATGATCTGTTGACATCTTTTGCTGATGCAGCGTTCTTTGAGGAGGTTCGAATCGCTCATCCTGCGGTAGCTGTCTCCATAGGCGGGCGTCGTAATGAGAGTTTAACGGTTGCCCATTGCGAAGACCTCTGGAACTACTGCGTTTTTGCTTGCCATAGGATCTTCCTGGTTGTGCCATTCCCACCATGTGACTCAGCGCGGCGCAGCTGTTGTGGTACCTGACAGAGTACGTGACAAGTGACAGAGTACCTTAACGTGCTCGCTCGCCGCCGCCGCCGGCTGCGGTCCTGACGTAGCTTGTTGACTCAGCTGTGCCTCAACGGTTCGTACTGATGTAGGCGGCATCGTCTTCTCGCAAATGTGCCTACTGCGGCTATTTCCACGGACAGTGCTCGTTGCGGGAGATGGAGAAAAGTGATGAGTGGGGATGGTGGGCCTGGTGACTAGGGGGGGGGGGTGAATAATGAGAGGGGAGGGGAGCGCAGCAGCAGCGCTCCGCTCAGCTGTGCGTCACCCGGTAGCAGCGATGGGTGAGTGAATGGAGGGCTAGGCCTGTGACCGGACTGCGAGGGGGGGGGGGGGAGACTGCCGGACCAAGCCGTGCCGAAAAGATTCTACGTTAAATGTTAAAGATGTAGCGTGCTACAGATACACCTTTGTTAGAAAATTAGGGAGATCAGAAGGGCAATGCTGACAAAATTGGTCGTGTTTCACCAGGACAACAAATCAGGGTATTTTTCACTGGTTGCAATGTAAACAATCAATTACTGAGCCTTCCAATGTATCCCAAATTTAATCTTTTAACCAGCATTGGCATCCTTAGGGTGTCTATTTCTTTCTAAACCTAAAGAAAAAACTGACTGGATGACGCTTCACAAAAAATAATGACGTCATTGACACCGCGAGCACTTACCCAAAATAGCATGATTCAAGGCGCTAAAAAAGTGAGGAAAAAAGTGCTAGGACTTCACAATTTCGTGTCCACCCATATCAATAGTGGCAAAATATGTTACCAAAGTTTCATTAATCTGCGTCACCTGTAACTATGTTAGGCTCAAACCTTTTCATTCACCCTACGTATGTCAGCTCACATTATCCGCGCGTTTCCAGTCTTTTTGTGATTGTAAACGTCCAAACATTTGAAATGATGTTCGTCCCATGCATCACGGCGGCTGTCAAGGTCATCTGAAGGTCAGGTCAGGTCATTGACCGTTGATGACCTCGGTTCACTTTTTCGAGTTTTACATGTTTCTAGGGTAGTTTTTCGGGCTGATTTCGAATTTAGCATCCATTTGAACATTTACGAAGTAGTTTTAGTGCTTTCATAACATGTTACGACGCCGTCGGTGGTAGTTGACACCTACTATGGATAGCCGGTAGGACGCGTACTGGTTGACCTGACCTGACCCGACCTAGCCTAAATGCATGAAGGCATCATCTGTGATCAAAACTAACATGATATTCGTGATCAGCACCCTGAAAAACTCCTTAACAGCTTCACTTTACGAAGTTCTAGCAGGCCCCGATTTTCCCGACTTTTGGGTCATTGACCTGACCTGGAAGGTCAACCAATGAGCTAGGACCTTAAAATTGAGTATCATCGGCTTCCTCTCGCCACGGGCAACACGCTCGTTTTTTCCGCGAAGCTCTAGCTCAATCAGGGGCCGAGCGGCAGGGGGGTCCAACCGACCCCCCCCCTACACATTAGACCGCGCTGTAAAACGTCGCACACATGCGAAGGTTAACACGCGCACCGACGGGGGGGCGGGGTTTGTCGCGAATAGCGGGAAAACCGCGGCGCGTAGCGCCGCGAAATTTGATACGACTATTCTCTCATCAATTTTACACATGGTGTGCAAGTTTGAACCTCCTAACTTTTAAGGTCAGGTCACCAGGTCACTTTGAATGACCCAACCTCAAGTCACTTTTTTGCAACTTTGTCACCGTGCCAGAGCTACAGTAGATGTCGGAGGCCTTTGAAAGTCGCAGGTTGTTATGAGGTCATTAGTAGCTACAATTTTTTTATCTCGGAATTTCGATATCGGTGACCTAAGGTCAGGTCAATTTCTCGACCTCCCCATTATAAGTCAATGGGGGAAAAATCAACTCCCTGTTTTTACCACTAAAACGGGTCGGAATGGCACCATAGGGTAGTGTGGGGTAAATTGAACATATTTTTACGTCTTCTCCGTTGTACCTACCAAATTCCAGTTCAACCCTGGATGAAGAAAAACTGCTTCAGTAGCGCAAGTGTCACTTGCTTTCACCATGCAAGCCTCATTTTTGGACGAGCCGAGCATATCTTGAATACCATAGCCTCACTTCTCCACCAAGTCACGGTGTGTTCAAATTGCCCCACCGTGGGGTAATTTGAACATACTGCCTTTACCTGTCATAAAAACGATAGTCTCGCCAGCACCGATGTTGTTTGACCCATAAACAAATAGGCAGAACAATTCTAAACATACCTTCACTTGAAAAATCAACACAACAGCAAAAATAACAGTTGCAGAGTATCAATATCTGCACGCTGCACACCGGTCAGTTGACAGAATTCGCCCGTCTTCAATTAACAGAACGTCTATCATTTTTGTTCGATAAAAACTCTCCCAACCGTACTACATCTGTGAAAGTGGTGCCAATCGAAACCTGGACATTTGGAGTTCTGATTTTGTCCAATGTCCAATTCGAAATTGGTTGGACAAAGGTAGCAGACTGGACAACATTGGACGATGGCTTGCTACACTTCAGCGCTTTTTATAAGGTAATCGTGCATAGCATTGATAGGCGAATGGAAAGCTTGTTAAGCTCTCAATATAATGAACACTTCTCGGCTGGTAAAATTACATGATAAGCAATAAAAATGACGGTTTTGAGTGTTGATAGCTGCATAATTTTCGGACATATTTGGACAAATAGTTGACTTTAACATTTTTGGACGGAAAATCAACAAAAAAGCCGGACATTAGACGGATATTAGACGTAAATTTTTCTAAAACTGGCATCACTTATCTGCTACTGCCTTGGGTCGAAAATATTGGCAAAAAAAAACTGGGAGCGTTGTTTCTTCGGAGCTATCCCTGTCCTCATTCAAATTCTTACACTATGTTCAAATTACCCACGCTAAAAGTTATTTTGCCATTTTAAAAGACAGGTTTCAAAAGCAAATTTCTTGGATTGAAGGCACTGATTAGGTCATTATACAACAAAAGCCGTTGCGTATTAGGCGCTAGCAATGCAAGATTTTGCG